TTTGGGGTACAAGGTAAAATGCGAAGGACTATTAGTCACTTAAAAACACATTCATATTATTTATCAAATCATTCCAGGATTGGACTTGAAGGAATTGTTTCATCAAACTTCGTTCCTGTGTCTTTATGTGAACTATTTTGAGTATCAATAGATATGCTTCAAGTAACATGTTTGCCCCCTCTCTCTCTCTCTCTCTCTCTCTCTCTCTCTCCAAATAGTACCATAAGGACGTTGATATTAACACTGTTGTTTATTTATTTGTCACATATTTCGACAAAGATGCAATTTATGCTTGGCACTCCCGGTGTATTTATCAACAAGCAGCTATTGAATCTCGAGCATAAAAAAAAGTTTCTTTCCATTAAAAAAGCTGTGTTCGGTGTCATGATCTAGTTCTGACTTGACCGTGTACATTTACCATACGTTACAATTTGGATAATTGTTTAAATTCATGCAATTGTCTTTTATCCTCATGTTTCAATGATATAAAACATGAAACTGATCGATTCAATCCTCAATCTCATTGTGTGACTTTCACTAAACGTTGATCATCCTAACCACGGACTTAGATAATCTAATTCCGTGTCCTAACTAAGTTTTGGAGAGGAGTGGTTTAGATCATCTAATTCCGTGTCCTAACTAAGTTTTGGAGAGGAGTGGATAATCCTCTTTTATGTATTATCAATATTGTTTCCATTTATTTTACAGCGTATAGAAATCAGGCCTTGCGAACTGATATTATGATCTTTAGAAATCCAGTACATGTGATCATTATGAACAAGATTTACGCGTAATTATATGTGTCGCCTGTCCCGCTTTGTCAACATAATAAGCATTTGACATAGTACATAAGGAAACGGACCTAAACGCAAAATCATAACATTAATTTTTTTTTGAAAGTCCAGAAATTTCAGGTTTTTATCCGAAAAAATGCAGAAACCCATGAAATGTTTTTAGAGTAGTAGGCTCTAATACCCATGATACATGTATGATTGAGGTTTGGTTGGTGTAGCTCTTATACTCTGTCAGAAAGAGCCTAATATGCAAGAGCTAAACGCAAAACCTTAACGTTGAGTTTTTTCTAAGTCCAGAAGTTTGAGGTTTTTAGCCAAAAAAAACAGAAATCGTTGAAATGCTAGTAAAGAGTGTAATGCATTCAGCTATACATCCCATGATACACCTATGACCCAAGTTTGGTTGCTCTAGCATTTATACTTTGTCAGAAACAGCCTAATATGTAAGAGCTAAACGCAAAACCTTAACGTTGAGTTTTTTTCTAAGTCCAAAAATTTGAGAAATTATTGAAATGTTTTTAGTGCAGAAGGCTCCACTACCCAAGCTTCATCTATGATCGAGGTTTTGTTGGTGTAGCTTTGTCAGAAACAGAGCTAAACGCAAAACCTTAACATTGTTGACGCCGCCGCCGTCGGAAAAGCAACGCCTATGTGTCTTTCCGACATCCGTCGTAGGCGACACAAAAACGGGGTACATCAAATAACTACTATACTATCGAACTTACACCGAAGCAGTTTTGTTCAAATATACCCCGTTTGCGACTATCCGCCCAGGAACTTTGAAACTGGGAAGATATACAAAGTGAAGTCTGCTATTACGATTATTGAAATTGATGTCTCCGCCAAATCAGATGACAGGCGACTACATTGGACTTTTGAATCTCGACCTATCAGATGGCCGGTAACTACGTACTCTAGGAACCGCTAGGTTTGGACTTTGATCTGTGTGGAATTTAAAAACGAAGTTAAAAGTAACATTCTGGATTTTTTCTAAGAATACAAGCACATGGGCTCGGATTCGGAATACTTTCGGTTAGTAATAACCCTATACACACCATCACTTCAACAATCTATTGAGTATAGCAATATTTTCCGATGCGTTGTAAAGCACAACGAATAAAGAATAAACACAAGTATGGGGCAAAACCTGAGCATTTCGCGTTGTCTAAAAAGCGTTCTCGAACATTGATACAAGAGAGACAACTCTTTTGACAAAATCTGACAAACACAACTTCTGTCGTTTCAGTCTCAAATTTTCCCCGACCATGTTTTCTGCACACACAACTTAATAGGGGGACTTTTGTTGAACCTGTTCTTTAGTGACATTTAATCTTGACCTTTGTTTCAGGAGGTTCTTAGAATGTTCTCTGGTAATTCATCCTCGATATCCAGGGGTTACGCTCACTTTCGTTCTCTGCACCCCTGGAATGTCATAGCAAAATTGAAGGCACGAGGATAGCTGTTTGATTGGTGTCAGGTAAATAAAAACTGACCAATCGCTAGGCTGATACCTGTCCTTTAATGTTACAAAGGAGAGACGCCCGACTTCAAAACCTGTCAATTTTTACCGTTACGTGACCGCGAGATTCTTTTGATGTACATCAAAGGATGGAACTAGTCTTCTTGTATTATCAACAAAGTGGCGCACACTGAGCCTTCAATTTTGCTATGACATATTCCACGGGTGTAGAGAGCGAAAGTGAGCGCAACTTACCCCTGAATATCGAGGATGCTGGTAATTATTATGGGTGAAACCGTGAATAATTTATCCTTATCCACAATATCAATGCTATTAATTATTTTATTTAGTTGTACAACGTCTGCTCGTTTCATCCGGAACTGAAGGCCAGGCAATCCTACAGATTTAAGGCACCCACTGTAGGACAAGCTAGTTATGCCCTGTACTCTTTTGTTGGCTCTTCTCTGGACATTTTCAGTCATTAATCTATACTGTGCTAGCAAAGGATTCCATAGATATATAAATCATATTTCGTATGTGGTATAATGAGAAATTTGTACAAACATAGGAACATCTCCTTATTGATAAGGAAGAACGTTTTGAATATCAGTCCTGGTATTCTGTTGGCTGCAAAACAGATACACACATGTTGACCAACTTTTTTTTCCACAGAGTTGTATAAATTTAACCATAGTATGCACGAGACAGAAAATAATGAAAACGTTTTTTATAACAAATGAAAACAAGAGGCCCATGGGCCTTAGCGGTCACCCAAGTTCTGATATATTTATGCAGAGAGTTGATTTTTGTTTTTAAAACATGACAGAAATATTATTCAAAGAGACAAAAAAACAACAAAAAAAACACCTTAATCAATATCTAGCATACAGATTTAAGACTGAAAAGTATTTGAAACTAGCAGCTCTGATTCTAAACAAGAAAAATGAAGACATTTTAGCACACTGACTCCTTTAGGCCCCACCCTACTGCACTTGGGGGTAGACTGGCTCAAATTTTTCGAAGTATCAAACTGCCAACTAAGGGTTATAATTCCAATCAAGTTATCAACATGTAATATCCAATGTATCATTTGCCAATATAAACCATAATACCCCTCCCCCCCCTTTCCTAAGGGTAAACGTGAGACCACAGGGTCATAAAATTCACAATTTTGGTAGAGCACCTTAAAACCCTCCAATCTATGAAGAGTATTTGATTCTACCATATCTGGGTATTGAGAAGAAGATTTTGAAATTTCAGTCAATTTGACCAGTTTTGGCCCCATCCATTAGCCCCTGGTGGTCAGTCAGGGCTGATATGTGCATAACATCAAGTTGCTATCCAATACTGATAATGCTAACCAAGTTTGAAATAATTCAAATGGAAATTAAATAAATGTTGGTCCAAAATGTGATTTCCCTATATAAACTATAGTAAAGTTTACCCCCTCCCCAGGGAGAAACGGGAGACCCCAGGGTCATGAAATTTACAATTTTGATAAAAGCGCTTAAGACCCTTCCATCTATGAAGAGTATTTGATTCTACCATATCTGGATCTTGAGAAGAAGGTTTTTGAAATTTTAGTCAATTTGACCCTTTTTGGCCGCCCACCTCAGGCCCTTGGGGGCTGGGGACCATATAATTCACAAGTTTGGTTTGCCTTTGGCCATGGAAGGTTTCTGCAAAATTTCATTGAAATTGGTTCATGGGTTTTTGAGAAGGCGAAAATGTAAATTGTTAACGGACGCACGACGCAAGACAAAAGGCGATAGAATAGGTCATTTGAGACTTTGTCTCAGGCGACCTATAGCCATGACTCCTCATGCTAAGGGCATAAGACCTAATTTCAGTATTTTTGTGGTACACATCTTTGACTTCCAAGAAAAAAGGAAATAGCAAGGAAGTTCAAATCTGACCCAGTCATACACAGATATACACAAGCCATTCGGATTAATGTCTCGCCTATTCCACCGCTTTGACCATCAATGCACATATCAGAGAAACTAACTTAAATGCCAAAAGTTATGTTGATGGAGATGCTGACAAAGTCGATGGACCATGAAAAGTAGGGCGCATCCAGCATTTAATGCATTGGTTGAGATGTACTACCTAAGATGCATTTATGGTCCAAGTTTGGTTCGTTTAGCACTTATACTTTCAAGAGAAACTACATTGTAACTTAAAACGCAAAAACTTAATGTTGACGCCATCGCCGGAAAAGCAACACCTAAGTCTCGCTTCCACTTCGTGGCACCGACAAAAAATCGAATATATTAATGGGGTTATCATTATAATGTGTTTGCCTCTTTAGTACTTTCAGATTTTTATTCAACAATGATAAAACTCCTTAACAATCTAATTATTCTAAAATGCTAGCAAGACGATTGTTATCAAACAATAGACAAAGCATACCCCATCTCATATAGGAATTGTTATCTTGAAACTTTTGAGGCATTCAAAATCTACGAGGTCACCGTAGCCCTAGATCGATTCCAAGACATGCGTCTCTAAAATTCTTTAATGTATACAATTCATCATTTCGTATGTTGCACAGATGGTAAGACACATTTTTTTCCCCGTCATTAAGATGTCAATGGCCAAGTGACATGAAGGGACCTGACATGAGGTCAAAGTTGAACATATTCTTTACTACAAGCTTACAGAGATAATATAACCCAAGCATATCCTTCTACGCAGACTTTCATCAAACTGTCTAGTCAATAAAGTTTGAACCAGAAACACCAAAAAACATTTAAAACCTTTAATCATAAATTGTAAACACATTTTTATAACTTTACAAACTTGTTTCTGATTCTGAATGGTGCTGTTAAGTTCACTTGTAATTCTGTCCAATGTCTACTGCCATACATCAAATGTCACTCTTTAAAAGAAAGATTCCTATTTCTCCCTAGATCACCAGGTGAGTTTCCTACAAAGAAAAGAAAGGTTATCCATAATTAATTGTTCAGTGGAACATTGTCCATATAAAACCTATTTTTACTGCTACCAGTTCACATTTTACGGCTAACCATTTCAAAAACTTTGAAAATAATATCATTATTTAAATATTTTTATAAGCATGAAGTAAACATATTCCAAAATAATTGGGGTCTGCTGCAATTTAGTGAGGTTAATTACAGGCTAATGATCTTATCCTGTCAAACCTACTTAGCAAACACGTAATCTGGATTCACAGTGGCCAGTTCAGGCTCTGTATATCCCATTTCCTTCAGGGAACTGATGTTCAGCTCTGCAAGTGTCGGCTCTATCTCCTGAGAAATGTAATCCCATAGCGACTTGTCGGCTATACACTTGTACTGAAATCCAAAAGAAACTAGTTATTTCAAAATTCAATACATGAATGTCTAAATAACACTCAATTTCAAATCGGACGTTTCTGTGGTAAATATTGTATTGAAACATACTGAAATTTTAATAAGTATATGCAGCATATAATAGAATAAACAAAAGATCCAAGAGGATATAAGTCTGTATTGGTCCTACATAAGTCTGATCTTTCCTCTTTTTCATCCAATGGACTGAATTATATCAAGTCAATACATCTTTTGGTAAATTTTGAGCAAAACTTAATACTGCTGTGTTTGGCATTGTCATTTCAAAGTGACGATTCTTGTTTGACCTATTGACTACATGTACATTAATTATCTAAGGTGTAAGATGATATTTTTTTTTAATTCCTGGTAGGTCTGATCAAGTTGCATGAATTTTCATAGCCCTATGAATGCATTTCTTTCTGGTGGAGTTTATAGAGGGACATGCAGTTGAAATGTGAATAAAGAACTTGGTTACATGCTTAAATAGAAAACCAAATACAATTATAGCAATACCTCATAATAATAAACTTAATCGTTTAGCAAAGCCTATCTTCCATGAGATTCTCAAAAAAAATATGCAAGCTGAAGAGAATATCCAGTAATGGACCATCAGTTAAGACAGAATACAGAAACAGACACCAGTTTTGAAATTAACTTTTGATAAAGATTATAATTTATCAATTAAACAAGTGACTGCGATAAATTATAATCTTGACTCAATCACTGCTTACACCCAGCATGTCCAAACACTTCTTACAATATCCTAACACTGTAGGAATGTAACATATTATTGAAAGTCATGCTTCTACATACAAAATGTACAGTAGTTTTAATGCATGAGATTCCTGAAAATTAGTGGGGTAATTTTTATTACTATGCTTCAAAATGATATTACATATATATGGATGACTTTAAAATTGAAAATCCTGTGACTGGAAATTAAATGGAAGAATCTGACAGAATACAGAAATATGATTAAGTATTTTAGTATCAATAAAACAGAATATTATATCCTTAATCACAAATTAAAAAGTCACACAATAGTACATACCCTGACTGATTCCATAAACCTAATTGCTAAACTGTGGTCACTGACTCGACGACATGCTTCCAGCCCAGCAATAACAGTGGATGGCAATGGAACCCTGTCTTCTTGCTACAAGCATAGTTATATAACTGATAAACAAATGGTTATATACAAGCTAGTCATCAACATACAATTGTTTCATTCGGGGAGCCTTCATCAATAAACCTCAATTTTTATAAATATATATTTTGTAGTTTTACAGCGTCACATTCTGGGATAACAATTGTGTTTCTATTTCAGGCTGACCAAAATGGATGTCAGGCACCTGCTCAACATGTACCAGACTGCCTGGTGATCATGTCAATTATGAGACTCTGTCCAATTCCTCCATAAATCTGGTTAACTTATCATCCAAGTCAGGGTTCAACCTTAACACTAGTCTTCTAGCCCAAGACTAGCTAGTAGAATTCCGCAAGGACTACAGCATCAGCTAACCTAATTGGTCCTTTGGATCTGTACAAAATGTTTATCACAATATCATTTTATAGATAAATTATAAATAAGAAGATAAAGGTCGAAATTTTTCATAAACTTTTTATGTCTCCTTCTGGAGATGTTTGCTCAAAGAAATCTTGCGTTACCAGGAGGAGTATCAAGTAATCTATTTACTAGCTATAGTCTTGTGGAATACTGGGGTGTCACAATACGCCAAGAGTGTATCACAATATATTGCTACATATCCCGATATATTGGGGAATTGTCAAAGGATGAGTTCAAATTTATAATAAGTTGTTGTCAGAATGTTATCAAACTTAATCATATACAATATGGATTACATAGATTTAAGAACTTTGTCAAACCAACCATCAATTACAAAATTGAAACTATTAAAAGCCTGCTTAATGCTTATTGGCATACCCGTTAGAATTTGAAGTAATTTGCAAAGTTAAAACACAAAGCAGATGTACATAAAAATATGCTTTTGAAAATATTGCGATACAGAAAAATGTCATCTCTGTATTGTGGTACGATACACCCGTGTATTGAGATATTGGCAGATATACCTGTTTTACGATATATTGTGACAGCCCTATGGACTATCAAGTCAACAAGAGGCCCAATGGGCCTGTATCGCTCACCTGGTATTAATCTCACACTTGTAACCTTAAAAGTGATCTAAAATAAAGTTACAGGCAAAAAATATCAGTATTTATTATTAAAAGTCATTCAAAAGAACCTGTTAAAAGATCTGAAAACATTCTAACCCTGTGCCCCTGAAATTTGAACAAGGTCATTATGTTGAACAAACTTTATAGCCCTTCATCTCAGGATGCAACTTGCAAAATATCACCACCCTATCCTTTTGTTTATTGAAATTAGGTCATTTCAATGTTTATACATATTTGACCAAATGGGACCTTTAAAGTGTATCAAGGTCATTCAAATGAAAAAGCTTTATAGCCCTTCATCAAAGCATACTAACTGGCTAAGTGTCAACATTCTGGGCCTCACGGTTATCCAGAAGAAGTCTTTTAAAGATTTTAACATATTTGACCCCTGTGACCTTGAATATAATTCAAGGTGATCTATTTGAACAAACTTGGTAGCCTTTCATCCTGGCATGCAACTGGCCAAATATCAACATCCTGTGCCTTTTGGTTATTAAGAAGTCTTTCAAATATTTTGAACATATTTAATCCCTGTGACCTTGAATAAATGTGAAGGTCATTCATTTGAACAAACTTGGTAGCTCTTCATCCCATCATGTTCCGGGTCAAATATCATCATTCTAAGCCTTTCGGTTATTCAGATGTTGTTTAAAGATATTGGACATTTTGACCCTTGTGACCTTGAATATGGGAGAATGTCATTCATTTGAACAAACTTGGTAGCCCATCATCCCTGCATGCTACTGACCAAACATATCGCCATACTTGGGCCTTTTGGTTATTAATATTAACGCCGGACGGACGCCGCACCATGGCATAAGCTCACTAGGCCCTTCGGACCCAGTGAGCTAAAAATGGTAGCATCTTATCCTGCAAGTATTGTCTATTATTTGGTTACCGTATCTACTAGAGACTACTTAACTAGAAACTTCAAAAATAATCAAAATATAATATACAGTTCTTACATGCATTATGTTGATGACATCTTCAACATCCCAAATGTCTGTAGCAAATTTAAATTGTCTGACATATCCCAATTCCACAGCATCCTCAGGATCCATGTTGGCTACTTCCCCTGATGCTGTAGCTATCTTTTCAGCTACAATCTTCCTATCAGTCTCACTGGCGACATTGGTGCAATAGCAAGAAGCTGCAAACAATAATGAAAAATAAAAGGATTGTGACTGATTTTCAACAAAGGTGGCAATTTCTTTTTATGTTGTATAATTTATTAGAGTTACATTAACATGCTCGCAACATCTATAAGATAATGTGAAACAGGGATTTGAAAAATAAAGAGGTTGGTCAGGTAGAAATAATAATAGTTTTTAACTCTTTCACCCCTAGCTATGTAACTTTAGTAAACTCTTCCATGCATTGATAGGGATGAGTCTACTATGGTCTACAGTGGTGAAAGGGTTAAAGGATGTACAGACGACAGATGTTTTTTAACAGTTCAAAATGACCCACCCAGGTGTTTTAAGATGCACCTGCCCAAAGTTGACACTTAATGGTCCAAGATTAAAAAAAAAAAATCAGCAAAAGTATCATTAAATATTAAATAAAGACTTAATGCATAAAGCAGTATATATATATATATATATGTGCCAAACTTTTAAAACCACTACAGGACATTCGGACAGGTAAAGAAATCTCGGACAATCTTTCCTTTTCAGTTTTCATGAAATATTTTAACTTTTAAATAATAAATTACAGGTGATGGATTTATTTTATTTAATATGTGTGATTATTGTTTAGTTTTAAATTTCTTAAATCCGAGTCGGGATCTGTCTGCCTATTAGTCACGCCATTGCATCTTCCTCTTTGATAAACAGAGACGTTTTTAAGGCAACCATGATGATGTCCCTCACTTGTTACTAGTAAATACAATTATTAAAAAAAAGTCAATCCTTTATTTATCTCTTTTACCTATTTGAACTGAAATTTCAGTTATTTTCACCAGGCTTAAATTTTTAAAAATCGTCTGAATTGATAGAAAGACTGCTTGTAATCTACCGGCAATTTCTTCAAAACGACAAATAAAGTTTGTTTTCATGATCTTTTTCAATTGCCCTCCAACCAAATTTACTGACCTCGCTCGGGCCATTGGACATTGGATATTTGCGCCCTGTAGGTCAGGTATGGGTGTAACAAATCAACAAGCTGTTTTTATCCGGACCAAAGAGGGAAAATACCAACTTCGTTTTGAAGATTTCTGGACCACATCTTTTTGTTGATTGACCTACAGAAATGGCATTTGCTCAGGTGGGAAATTTTGAACAAATGAAAACTTAAGCAGATGCTGGTTATAAAAAGGGCAGATTTGGATCAATAAATAATCTGTTTATGTTGTAACATAGTCAATTTTTGTTATCAGCCTCTCAAAACTCTCCAATACCAATCAGTGTCAGATAATTCCACGTTTTCATATAGTAGTGCGCTCTAGATCTGGCCCCACACCAGACATCTATCTGTCAAAAAAGATGTCTAAGTCTGGTTTCAGGGCCACAGAATGCTCAGGTTAAAACTTTCACTGCTACCACTGGGGTACTGTCGTTTCGGTACTTCAAAAATAAGATGTTTCAGTACTTTTTGCAAGTCGTTTCGGTACCTGTATTTAAGTTGTTTCGGTACTTCGTTTCGAAAAGACTTTCAGAAGTACCGAAATGACTTCCATAAGTACTGAAACGACTTGGTACCGAAACGACTAGAATTCTTACCACTTACAAATCCTACTCATATAAGGTGACAGTACCCAAATCGGATCACCAAACGATCATTTTATTAAATCATTGAAAATTCTGAGGAGCAATTATATTCATTTATGATTGTATCAAAGGAAGAATATCGATGGGTGTTCTAACAAACGAAATTAGCACCTGGGGCTCACTTGAAATATTTATAGAACGCTCCGAAATCACCAATCAGCATCTCTGGTTTTTGCAAATGTCAGGACCCAAATCGGAACAAAGCTTGAATTTTGCAGTATCTGACGCTTCAAATGATTTTTTTTGTCAGCATATTAAAATTGTATGATGACCATTTTTTAAATCAAAACACTGACATTTGAGTTTGAATTACGTTTTCTTGTCATATTACTAGAACATAAAAACTAATCATCTGTACATAGGTGTTTGAAATTCTGACTGTGAATTGAGATAAAAATCATATAAAAAATAAGGGTATTACTATATAATTTTTTATATAGTAATACCCTTATTTTTTTTATATGATTTTTATCTCAATTCACAGTCAGAATTTCAAACACCTATGATCTGTAAACAAAAAACGGTATTAAATAATCATTGTCATAACTGATTTGTTGACACAATTTTTTTATTTATAAGTATTTTTTGCAAAAAGGGATCCGATTTGGGTACTGCCACCTCGCCCCTGCCACCTTAGTCTTATTTACTTTATAACTAAATTTGCAGTACATTAATTACCAATACTGGACTATGGTCACGTAGACCACATACGACTTGTCAAGATCCAACAACAATCAAGTCAAAGTAAATTTACATTAATGTCAAAGTGTCGATTTCTCGCGCTGAAGTTATAGTATGTGTACAGTAGGGCAGCTTATTAGATCAATTAGACCTGAGCAACATGCATCTGATGGCAAAGAGATGTTTGACACTGGAAATGACATGGCGATCGGAAGTGGCCATGGGAACACTCAACTTGTCTTTACACAGACGAGCAAAATTGAGAAGAAAACTTGTTTTGTATTACCAGCAGGGTTTATTCTCCTGGGCTGTACCGTCTGTCGAAGTGCGGGAAGGACGGCCCTGGTCAACCTGTGTGATAACTGCCTCAACATCTTTTCTGACCGGTGCGACCTTGCAGATTTTTGCTGTTTACCCACGATGCACCAGCAATCTAGGTCAACCAGTGTATTTAAAGTAATGCGGTTTGAGGCGAATGTTTTAAGCGCCTCTCTGATGAAGATATGTAGGGGATCAATAGTTGAAGCCGACCCGCGCCCGTACTCGACCAAACACTCAAAATTGAATACATGTCCTTGAAATAAGTAAGCCCTTTTCGTTATTATTTTTTGCAACTGTAAACTTTTAGGTTTTAACTCATTGAATAAAAAGTTTCCATTTTAATTTTAATTTTCCGTAATCGTTGTGTAAAAGATGAGAAGGGAGGAGGTATCTAGGCCTAGTGTGTTATTTAAAACTTTGCGCCTCCTGTCCCCGTTCTCCTTCCCTGTTTTTCTAAAAAAAAAAAAATGCACCTGCCACATCTAAACACTTTAATTGCCATTATAAACGAATTGAATATATCAAGTTGTACAGGGTCTTTGGAACTACAATATCTATGAACTTACTAGCCATTTTTCTGTTTCAGCCTATATCTATATATATATATTTTTATTATTTTGTTGACCCACGGACATAGATAACACCGTAGTTGACCAGATTTTTATTACTTATAATTATAGACACAGAATCACCCTGCTGAAAGAAAATAAACAATAATCAAGTAATGCACAAGGTAAAAAGTTGATATAGACCACGGTATTTATTAGATTAAACATCTCAGTACGGTCCATTTGGAAGTACAACAATGTCAAACATGTTTCTAGTTTAAAGCAGAGACGTTATATGTACATTTTCGTTTCAACAAATTTTATTGGACAAAACATTGCACAATTGGATAAGACAACAGGCTTAGCCTATATAAGTCTTCTCCTATCCGGTATTAATTGACAAGAAGCATAAATTTAGTACATGGATCAACGAGACACACTCATATACACTTACAACCATACCATAGCACACATACACCCTCACATACACATAATAAATAAGCATTCACAAACACATACACACACACTCACACACACACACACACGCAAGCCCTTACTCAAAATTTAAGATATACATATAAAGTGGACAAAAGAAGAAATTATGTTCAGCATTTTCACAAGATGCGCCACAAGAGCAAGATGGATCAACTATCAAGTGATCATTACATTTATCAAAATTTAAATTGCTAGCATTATTACGTAATTGACACAATACAATATTTAGTTTTCTTGGATTACAGGTGATGAAAGTTTCAGAAATGGTCCTGGTAGGTGTTTGAATTTTATTAATTTTCTTTTTGAAAGAATTGATAGTCCGAGAAGAAGTGATTGAATGATCGAGATTGTTCCATAGGCGCATGACATCAGGAAATAAACTACAGTTGTAGATACAAGTTCTAGAATGCGGAATGTTAAAAAATCTATTTGTGGTGATTGACTTGTATATTAATATAAGGTCCAAGGATGTCAAATAAATAATCAGGTGTTAAGTGGTTGAGGATTTTAAACATTAAGACAAGTTTATGCTTATTCCGTCGATCTTTTAATTTTTCAAAATCTATTTCATATTATAATTTTTGATGAGATGTACCACTTCTAAGACCAGTTATAATTTTCATTGCTTCATTTGAACGGATTCCAGTAGTTTTTCTTCTCCAATATTACAATTACCCCAGACAGAAGAGGCATATTCTAAAGTAGGACGAATGAAGGAGAGATATAGTAATTCTAAAGATTTCCTATCAATTTTATGTTTTAGCATACGTAGAATATTTAATCTTTTACATGATTTATCATAAATATATTTAACATGATCACCCCAAGAACCATTAGTATTAAATACTTCGCCAAGATGTTTATNTGTAAACAAAAAACGGTATTAAATAATCATTGTTATAACTGATTTGTTGACACATTTTTTTTATTTATAAGTATTTTTTGCAAAAAGGGATCTGATTTGGGTACTGCCACCTCGCCCCTGCCGCCTTAGTCTTATTTACTTTATAACTAAATTTGCAGTACATTAATTACCAACACTGGACTATGGTCACGTAGACCACATACGACTTGTCAAGATCCAACAACAATCAAGTCAAAGTAAATTTACATTAATGTCAAAGTGTCGATTTCTCGCGCTGAAGTTATAGTATGTGTACAGTAGGGCAGCTTATTAGATCAATTAGACCTGAGCAACATGCATCTGATGGCAAAGAGATGTTTGACACTGGAAATGACATGGCGATCGGAAGTGGCCATGGGAACACTCAACTTGTCTTTACACAGACGAGCAAAATTGAGAAGAAAACTTGTTTTTGTATTACCAGCAGGGTTTATTCTCCTGGGCTGTACCGTCTGTCGAAGTGCGGGAAGGACGGCCCTGGTCAACCTGTGTGATAACTGCCTCAACATCTTTTCTGACCGGTGCGACCTTGCAGATTTTTGCTGTTTACCCACGATGCACCAGCAATCTAGGTCAACCAGTGTATTTAAAGTAATGCGGTTTGAGGCGAATGTTTTAAGCGCCTCTCTGATGAAGATATGTAGGGGATCAATAGTTGAAGCCGACCCGCGCCCGTACTCGACCAAACACTCAAAATTGAATACATGTCCTTGAAATAAGTAAGCCCTTTTCGTTATTATTTTTTGCAACTGTAAACTTTTAGGTTTTAACTCATTGAATAAAAAGTTTCCATTTTAATTTTCCTTTTCCGTAATCGTTGTGTAAAAGATGAGAAGGGAGGAGGTATCTAGGCCTAGTGTGTTATTTAAAACTTTGCGCCTCCTGTCCCCGTTCTCCTTCCCTGTTTTTCTAAAAAAAAAAAATGCACCTGCCACACATAAACACTTTAATTGCCATTATAAACGAATTGAATATATCAAGTTGTACAGGGTCTTTGGAACTACAATATCTATGAACTTACTAGCCATTTTTCTGTTTCAGCCTATATCTATATATATATATTTTTATTATTTTGTTAACCCACGGACATAGATAACACCGTAGTTGACCAGATTTTTATTACTTATAATTATAGACACAGAATCACCCTGCTGAAAGAAAATAAACAATAATCAAGTAATGCACAAGGTAAAAAGTTGATATAGACCACGGTATTTATTAGATTAAACATCTCAGTACGGTCCATTTGGAAGTACAACAATGTCAAACATGTTTCTAGTTTAAAGCAGAGACGTTATATGTACATTTTGGTTTCAACAAATTTTATTAGACAAAACATTGCACAATTGGATAAGACAACAGGCTTAGCCTATATAAGTCTTCTCCTATCCGGTATTAATTGACAAGAAGCATAAATTTAGTACATGGATCAACGAGACACACTCATATACACTTACAACCATACCATAGCACACATACACCCTCACATACAAATGTACACCCTCACATACACATAATAAATAAGCATTCACAAACACATACACACACACTCACACACACACACACACACACACACACGCAAGCCCTTACTCAAAATTTAAGATATACATATAAAGTGGACATAAGAAGAAATTATGTTCAGCATTTTCACAAGATGCGCCACAAGAGCAAGATGGATCAACTATCAAGTGATCATTACATTTATCAAAATTTAAATTGCTAGCATTATTACGTAATTGACACAATACAATATTTAGTTTTCTTGGATTACAGGTGATGAAAGTTTCAGAAATGGTCCTGGTAGGTGTTTGAATTTTATTAATTTTCTTTTTGAAAGAATTGATAGTCCGAGAAGAAGTGATTGAATGATCGAGATTGTTCCATATGCGCATGACATCAGGAAATAAACTACAGTTGTAGATACAAGTTCTAGAATGCGGAATGTTAAAAAATCTATTTGTGGTGATTGACTTGTATATTAATATAAGGTCCAAGGATGTCAAATAAATAATCAGGTGTTAAGTGGTTGAGGATTTTAAACATTAAGACAAGTTTATGCTTATTCCGTCGATCTTTTAATTTTTCAAAATCTATTTCATATTATAATTTTTGATGAGATGTACCACTTCTAAGACCAGTTATAATTTTCATTGCTTCATTTGAACGGATTCCAGTAGTTTTTCTTCTCCAATATTACAATTACCCCAGACAGAAGAGGCATATTCTAAAGTAGGACGAATGAAGGAGAGATATAGTAATTCTAAAGATTTCCTATCAATTTTATGTTTTAGCATACGTAGAATATTTAATCTTTTACATGATTTATCATAAATATATTTAACATGATCACCCCAAGAACCATTAGTATTAAATACTTCGCCAAGATGTTTATGAGATTTATTTTCATGAATTATCTGATTGTCAAATATAAGTAATGGATGCTGTCTATTTTTCTTGGTTACAGTTAATGCAATAGTTTTTTGAGGATTAAAATTGATTTTCCAGAGTTTTGCCCAATTATTAATGGATTCAAGATCATCATTAAGTTCTTCTGCTGGAGAAATTACATCTTTATCAACAATATTATAAAGAGACGTATCATCAACAAAAAGTTTTACATTAGTGTTAATTTCATGAGTAATATCTTTTATGAATATAAGAAATAAAAAGGGACCAAGAACAGATCCTTGTGGTGCACCAGCAGAAATTGATTTGAAATTAGAAGCATAACCTTCAAAAATAACACGTTGTTTTCTATCGGATAAGTAACTTTCAAACCGTTATATGTACATGTAAGTCTCTGTTTAAAGGTATGACTTTTTAACGACTTCAATTCTTTAAAATATTGATAAAAAAAAAACACTATAACGATCCACATGATCAGAGCGGATTTGGAAAGTTATTCTATAATGACAATTTGTTAGAACATTGATTTTCACAGGTGACGGTGCGTGTTTCCGGAACAGTTAGAGAAAAGATTATCGGTGTTTTTTGGAATATACGGTACTACAAGTGACTTCAGGTACATTTGTAAAGATTTTTCTCGAGCGAGTCATAAACATCTTGTTTTCAAAATTTGGTGAATCCCATAACTATGGGATAAATGAGTCCTCAAAAAGGTTAACGAGTTCCACAAGAAAAGTCACAGGGCCCGTATTCATGACACCGTTCTCGTG